CCTCTCCTGCAGGGGGGCGTGGTATGAAGGTAGATATGGTGCAAAATGCGAGAGCGTGTAAAACCTGATGTGAGCACTTGCAGCAAAAAAATCTGAGCTTGTGTGCATACATTTACACTTGTATAAAAATATCCACGTATGTGTGAACGAAATTTGAAGTCACAGAAGAAAAAAATGAACTTAGTGATGAAATGTTCTACACTTCTTGCGATTAATGTGTCGCAAAAGTAATTTTCACCTGTATATGTGGGAGAGGGAGGGGGGTTGGAGCGAAGGGGCGGAGCTATCAGAACGACGAGGCTTGGGTCAGTCACACAGTCACAGCCATAGTCAGGTCGAACCGGATGTCTGCGGGGAACGGGTTCAACAGTTTGTGTCCAGGGTGGGAGGGGTCCGCATCGCCTCATGGTCCTGGAGGCGTGGAGGGAGGGCAGATTTCAGCCAATCACTGGTGAGCTGGTGTTCTGCTCCCACATGAGGTCCTGGCTGATGATGGTGCCCAGGAAGCGGAAAGTCTCCACAGCAGTGACTGGGGAGTCACACAGAGTGATGGGGGCGGGCAACCATCTCCACTGTCTTTAGAGCATTAAGCTCAAATTTGATGTCCCTGCATCAAGTATCCAAAAGGTCAATCTCCCACCTGTTGGCAGTATCGGCCCTATCAGAGATGAGTCCGATGACGGTGGTGTCGTCCGCAAACTTCAGTTGCTTGACGGACTGCTGACTGCAGGTGCAGCTGTTGGTGTACAGGGAGAAGAGCAAAGGGGAAAGAACCAGTGCTTATGATCTAATAATAATAATAATAATAAATGATATTTATATAGCGCCTTTCAAGGGACCCAAGGTCGCTGTACATGGTGGACAAACAAAACAAACAGACAATCAACGGGCAAACCAAATAAATAAATAAAGGAAGCCAGGGGACCAGAAAAGGGCTAGGGCCCGAAGGCCAGGGTGAACAGGTGTGTTTTTAGTGATAATTTGAAGATGTCCAGGGAGGCAGCATTACGGATCTCGGCAGGAAGTGCATTCCAGAGGGTGGGGGCCGCAACACTGAATGCCCTGTCACCAACAGTACGGAGGCGAGAGCGGGGGATAGAGAGCAGGCCCGTGTCTGAGGACCGCAGACTCCGAGAAGGGGTGTAGGGATGGAGGAGGTCCGATAAGTACTGGGGGGCGAGGGTATGGAGGGACTTGTACGTGAGGATGAGTGTTTTGTATTGAATCCGGGACTTGACCGGCAGCCAATGTAGGTGGATGAGGGTGGGTGTGATATGGTGCCATGGCTTGGTGTGGGTGAGAAGCCTGGCGGCAGAGTTCTGGACATATTGGAGCCTATCCAGGGTTTTGCTGGGAACCCCGGACAGGACTCCATTGCAATAGTCCAGACGGGATGTAATGAAGGCGTGTACCAGGGTTTCTGCCACAGAGTCAGAGAGAGAAGCCGGATTCTGGAAATGTTTTTTAGGTGGTAGAAGGCGGATTTGGTGACAGCTTTGACATGCGCCTGGAAAGAGAGGGTGGTGTCCAGGATGACTCCCAGGTTGCGGACTTCAGTGGACGGGGAGATAGAGCAGCCGTCAATGGAGAGAAGCAGGTCTCCAACCTTCTGGAGCTGCGTCTTGGGAGCCACAATCATGAGCTCTGTTTTATTGCTGTTGATTTTGAGCAGGTTTGATGACATCCAGTTTTTTATGTCCTGTAGGCAGTTGACAAGGGATTGAGGGGGGAGCTGAGTGGACGGTTTGGTGGAGAGATAGAGCTGTGTGTCATCAGCATAAGAGTGAAAGCTAGGAGTCTGAGACGTGTTTCCCCAGCTTCACGTGCAGGTCTCTGAGGGGGTGGGGGACGGGTAGGTGTGAGACCTGGTGGAAGGTGTCAGGGGGGATTGTGTCAGGATTGTTCCATTGGTCTTCAAAGCTAAAGTCGAACAGGTAAAGGTTCAACCAGGCATCGTTCATTCATGGAGTGGAGGCCTTAGGCTTGTAACTGGTGATCTGTCTGAGGCCCCTCCAGAGAGATATAGAGTCAGTAGCTGAGAACCGTTGTTGTAGTTTCTCAGAGTACAGTCGTGAAGTATCTCTCATCGCTTTGCAAAAACGGTACTTTGACTCCTTATTGCCCCTCTTGAATGCCTCTTCCTTTTGCATCCTAAGATTTCTCAGTTCGGTTGTCTGTGAACCAGGTCTTGTTATGTTGAAACTCACCCTGGTGTAGACTTTTACTCATCACTCAGCATTCATATAAAATCAATCGGCCCTGATTAGCTTCACTAATGGTAGTGCCTTCTCTCATACCACACACAACACACACACACACACACACACACACACACACACACACACACACACACACACACACACACACACACACACACACACACACACACACACACACACACACACACACACACACACACACACACACACACACACACACACACACACACACACACACACACACACACACACACACACACACACACACACACACACACACACGATCCGTGTATCAGCTTTGTTGTTGCGGCACGTTGAGGATACATTTGTTGGATTGTATTGTTGTTATTATTGGGGAGCCAGCTGCTTCCATCGGGGGCGAGCAAACAGAGGTAAGAGACAAATGGAAAGAAACAATGACACACCCCCATTTAACCACTCACTGTCACTGTTTTTAAAATTGTAATTAAATGTTTGATATTTCCAGAGACCCTTTCAGACCGGCAATGCTGCCCTGCATGTAATTCCGATTGTCCATCGGAATGTGACAAAAGTCAAAAGTCTCCCATCTCCCTTGGGAGACTTTCCGATGGGCAATACACAAAGACAGCTAACTGGGTAACAGTATGTTCCCTGACAGTAGTTGACTTTTCAGCTTGTCACTCAGAGGGGGGTGGGGGCTGATGAACGCTATGGTCAATGTCTGTAAACACTGTGAAATGTTGACTTTATTTGATAATTTCAGTAAAAACTAACGTTCATATTTCAGAGAGGAAGAGACACTGCATAAATATAAGGGCTGTCAAGTTAACGCGTTAATAACGCGCTAACGCATAAAAAAATTAACGCCACTAATTATTTTAACGCGATTAACGCATGTGTATCTTTTTTCCTCGGCCGCCCCGTAGTTTCAGAGTGCATCGAGTTTAAAATACCATCTACAAGCTGATGCTGATAGCCCCGCTCCTGCCGCCCGCTTGTGGCCGACCACACTTCCACGCTCACCGGCAGGCACCGACTGGCTATCGGGAGGACCGGGAGGGTGTGTGTATGTGTGGCCCAAGCGAGCGAGAGAGAGACCTTACGTGCATTGTTGTTGTTAGCATCTGGTGCTAGCTAGCTGCGCTAACGGATATAAGGAGCTGTTTAAATGAAAACAGAGGAGCGACATTTCGCCACAACTGCGCCGAGCACTTGACTTTATGCAGGTAGCCAGACAGTGGGACATTGTACGAAAAGTCAGCACACTCAGCACGGATAGTGCGCAACATGATTGCAGCGTCCAGGCAGCACCCGTTCGAACATATGCACATAGGATAGCTCCAACGATCCATCACACACACACACACACACACACACACACACACACACACACACACACACACACACACACACACACACACACACACACACACACACACACACACACACACACACACACACACACACACACACACACACACACACACACACACACACACACACACACACACACACACACACACACACACACACACACACACACACACACACACACACACACACACACACACACACACACCATTTGTATTGTATTATTGAATGAGAGAGGTTCCAGGTTGAATTGAGGCGAATATTTGTAATGTTCAGAGGTTGTTGTGTTTGATATTCATGAGAATATTTGTCATTGTTCAAATGATAATAAACATTAGCATAAAGCATATTTGTCCACTCATATGTTGATAAGAGTATTAAAAACTTGAAAGATATTCCTCTAAGGTACATTTAGAACAGATCAAAAATGTGCGATTAAATATTTTAATCGACTGACAGCCCTAATAAATATGCAAACCTACAGTTAACTTTACTGCTGGAGAAGAGAGGTCGGGGGGGGGGACAGTCGGGGAGAGCTGTGGATGATGGGCATAAGTGTATAAACACACAGCTGATCACCTGAGAGCTGCCGTTTCATTCAGACCATTTAAAAAAAACAACGATCTGAATTTAACATTGCACAACAATGAACTCAATGTGTGATTGTTATAGCAGTAATATTAAACACTAATAATACAGTAAACTATTAACAATAGTATAATATTATAGCCCGTTTGCCCATGGTGAGATGACGAGGCTTCATTAAAAATAAACGTATTTTTAGTGAATTACTGAGTTTGGGCAAGTTAATAACGTTTTAATGAAGTTGACTACAGTATATTCATATTTATCAGTGCTTTCATGTCAATTCGGTGACCATAAACATAAATGATTGTGAAGATGATGATTAAATTAGGATTAAAGATCGGTAGTGAGAGCCGTGCTGCATTTCCTCCCGTCGGATATGATATAAAAACAAGCCGATTATTTTTGTAGTTGTAAACTCACTTATTAGTGCTTTCATGTCAATTCGGCAAACATATGATACATTAAATGATCGTGAGGATGAAGATTAAAAATAGTTTGTTTGGGCAGGTCTGCATTTCCTGATGAAAAAACAAACCGATGGTTTTGTACTTACGCCAACGTGGATTAAACAACATTATTTTGTTAAATAAAAATAGGTGATGTTTTGTAAATCATTAAATGTCTCTTATTTAGCACAGAATATGATCCTATCCGTGACATATGGATCTTAACAAAGATCCGCTATATCAGATACCTGTAGAGATCTATCAGCTGTTTATTTCACATGAGTTCAAGTGTGGCAGCTTTTTAATCACTGCTGGATCAATGGACAATGGACAATCAATCAATCAATCAATCAATCAATGGACAATGGATTGCATTGCAATCCATTGCAGCTGGTTTCATTATCATTTTATTTATTTATCAAGGGGGCGTATCAAGTCCTGCGGGGTGTTTCCCTTTCAGCAGGGGCCCACCCTGTGCCGATCACGGGCCCACATGGGTAGGGGCGTCCGAAATGAGGTGCTACATCTGTATGTAGCTATACCTATAAAAAGTAATACACAGTCATTATTTTCTATCCCACTAAATCAAAATGTTTGTAGCCCATGTTATATCTCTCACAGGCTCCGCCCTCTACTGGACTCTATGGGTACTACCTTATCATGCAAGCATTCACCAACTGAGATTTCTATAGACGTAGCCGGCCCCGGGGCGGGGCTACCTTTCCCGTCATCCTACACTTCTCTTCAGCGAGCGAGATACAACTGAAGCACAGAAAGTTGTTTAAAGAAGAAAGAGTTATCATACCTCCATGGAGTCGCCACTTCTAGAGACCCGGGCCTGTCCTTCGTGCCCTGGCTTAAATAGCGGGCGCCGATCCCCACCACCTCTGCTTCAAGTGTTTGGGGGACCAGGATATGGCCGAGGCGGTGCCAGTCACGTTCGCCATTCACGTTCGCCATTCCAGCGGGGCGGATGGCTCCGTTTGCCGTTGTCGGACACTTCCGGGTCCGGCGTCCATGGACATGTACTTCCCCCCAGGTGATGACCAGGGTGGGGGAGCGCAGCTGCTCCCAGCGGGCAGCAGGCAGAGAGCTGAAAAGAGCCCTGTCCCGCTGCCACGTGACAGGGCGGCTGCAAATAAACACGGGTGTGTTGGGCATCTCGCTCGTTGCTAGAGATGCCCCCACCTCACCAGATCAGAGCTATTATTTGGCCGCAAGTCCGAATTAGTAGCTTGGTCTACGGTGTGGCCGACGCCGCTGCCTGCCTTGTGATGTCCCTGGGCGGTCATGCCGCATGGCACTTTCCAAAAGGACCGCGTTGATCTCCTGGGAGCCCCCGTGTTTACGGAAGGGCTCTTTGGATCGATCTCCTTGGTCACGTGAGTGAGGAGTAGTCGCAGCGTGGCTGCTTCTTGCTCATCCCCAGAGGAAAGAACACTGTCCCACACTCCCCGCCCCCGCTGTAAACCAGCAGGTGGGCGCGCGCACGTGAGTGGAATAAACCGAAGTGCTGTCAAAGCACTGTGCGGGTTCAAGAGACGCTATTGCCCGCTGTTGTCAGAAAACACACCTTGCCTGGTATAATAGCTCCGATTAATGCGTTTCACCGTGGGTGAAATACAACGTTAATACGAGAACGCGCGGCCCCCCGTGAGAGTGGCCGCGGTGCGTTCAGGGACCTCCGCAGAAGAACGGTGGGTTACGTGTTGTAACCTAGTTCTAGTGTGATGTGTGTGTGAAAAATGCATTCGGTAAAAATGATTGCATTTATCCCAGAGTAAGAGTCATCTCATTTCCCCATAATGTCCGTTTCAAAGAGACGGAATTATGACAGGGCACGTGCCCCTAGCACTTGGTACATTAAATAAAAAACACATCCTGGGATCTTAGGCAATAGCTACTTGCGACTCTCTGTGATATCAGTGAGCAGCATGGCTTTATAAATGAACATATACCAATGACTGAGTCTCCGAACAGTAAGTGATGGCAGACTTGCCCTGGCATACAGGGTACAGTGATGAGTAAGTGCTTTACAGTTTGTAACAAATCTCAGCGCACTGTGATAGGCGGCATCTAACTTGATCGGTTGCATTCATATATATCAAATCACCATAGTCCAGCACAGGTAAAAAGGTCACAGAGACTAGCCTTTTCCTGGCCTTAATGGAGGGACCTGCACAAATACATCACGGTATCATCAGCATAAAAATATAAAGTTGCTTCATCCACATTTTGACCTAAACTGTTGATATAGATGGAGAATAAAAGTGGACCTAAAACAGAACCTTGGGGAACACCATTTGTAATGTTTAACAACTCAGAAGACAGCCCATCAAAATGAACACATTGGGACCTTTCAGAGAGGTAGTTCACAAACCGCCCCACTGCATGGCTGGATATACCAATACTGGCCAGCCTCTGCTTCAGGATTTGATGATCGACGGTATCGAAAGCTTTGGAAAGATCAATAAACAGAGCTGCACAACTCTGCTTTTTGTCTAAGATATTAGCCATATCATTTACGACTTTCATTGTCGCAGTGATGGTGCTATGTTGCTTTCTGAAACCTGACTAATGTTTACATAGTAGGTCAAAGTTACTTCAAAACAACTTTACCTGCTCACTCACTAGGCTTTCAAGAACCTTGGCCAGAACTGATCATTTAGAGATGGGCCTATAATTATTTAATAAAGTAGCCTCCCCCCCACACCTTTTAGTAGAGGAAGGACACAAGCTGACTTCCATATTTTTGGAATTGTGTTTGTGCTGAGGGAGTGGTTAAAAAGAGAAGTAAGAGGTGGTGCAATAAAATCTGCAGCTATCTTTAAAATGAAAGGTTCATGAACGACTTCAATAGAAAAAGGAGAAAAACTGAAAGGGTTTTCCAAACCACGTTTTTCAGAGTCACAGACTGTCGTGTTCACAATAGCAGAGTTAGAAACAAAATCAAACAGAGAGCCACAGGACACAAAATGCTCATTAAAACAATTTAACATAGTAGCCCTATCCGATATAGTGCCAGATGCTGTGGTAAGGCAAGGAGGTAGCTCATTACGGATTTCACCGGTGGATAACGATTTTATGGCTTTCCAACATTTTCTAGGATTATTCAGGTTCTTTGTGGTAACTGACAGATAATACTTAGACTTAGTACTTTTGATTTGTGATGTGAAGCTATTTCTTAGCTGCCTAAAACGAAGCCATTCTACCTCTAAGCCTGATTTCCTAGCCTTTGCCCAGGCCTTGTTTCTATAATGTAGGAGACTAGACAATTCAGCAGAAAACCAAGGATTGTCTCGTCCCTTCACTCTAGATTTACGCCGGGGTGCATGTCTATCAATAATTTCCATAAAACCAAGATAAAAATAAGACCATGCAGTTTCAACATCATCACACAGATCGATTTTTCCCCAATCAAACCCAAACAAACCCAAACAGATCATGTACAAAACCCTGCTCCACAAAAAGTTTTGTGTCTCTCTTAATGATAATACAAGGTTTACCCTTTTGGACCTTTGTGTGCCTAATTGTTGCTACAACACAGTGATCACTCAAATCATTAGCAAATACTCCCACAGATGAGTAGGGAACATTAGTTAAAATTAGATAAATGAAGGAGGATTTATTTGGGGACTTAATGTTAGGGCGAGTAGGACAGTCTATAATCTGAGTAACATTTAAGGATATACAAAGGTTTTTAAAATCCTCTGACACTGTAGTTAACCAGTCCCAGTTGAAATCCCAGTAGCACTATTTCCTTGTAGTCAAGTTGAGATAAAAGTTTGCCAACGAAGACAAGGAGTCCTTGACAGCTGAGGGGGGTCTGTAACAGCCCACTACCATGACCTGTTGACCCTTTACCACTTCGATACTTACGGCTAAACATTCTAGTTGTTTACTAATTGATTTGGAAACCAATGTGGTTACACTAAACGTATTCTTCACCTAAATGGCAACGCCACCATCTTTATTTAGTCGGTCGGTACGATATACATTATAATCAGGGGTGCACATAACTTTTTCGCCCTGGTTCGCAACGGAGCACCTGGAGATGTTGCTTGGTGCGCATCCTTAAAATGAAATAAACCGGACCTTTTGAGAGGTACTTGACTTTATGAACGGGGGGGGGGGTAGGTGCGCTCGTGAGCACGCCCATGAACTGTTCGCCCGTGCCTCGCAGCAGGGTTACTGTGTGGAGCGCATAAAGCAGACCCTTACGCGATAACGAGGGGTAGAGCGAGGGATCTCAGATGCCGTCGCGCTCGCGGACGGATTAAAAAAATGAAACCTAAATGGCTCGCGAATTATACTTTGGCGGCCATTAATATACCTGGGCGGCCCACCCAAGTAAAGTCTATGTGTGGGAAACCCTGCTATCTTATCAGTTATTATGCAACTCGCAAATCTCTCTCTCTCGCATGGCGGTGGGTGCGCATGCGCACCTGCGCACCAGTTATGTACAGCCCTGATTATAACCATTTAAGGAGATGTCAGAGGCTAATATAGATTTATTTAGCCACGTCTCTGTTTAGGTAAAATCTAGTTTAAGTAAAAGACTGCGCACATTTAAGTGGATGAATCCCAACCCAGACCTAGATTTAAAATCAGCAGGAATAGCGATCTGACTACTACTACTACTGGGCGGACCAGGGTTAGGTTGTACATTTCCTGATAGCAATAATAACAAGAAAACCAGACATCTTTTCTTCTTAATCGACACACGTAAATCGTCATCTACTTTAAAATCACCAGCAAAGTCTGCGAAAGTGTGATTTGAGCTCAAGAAGCAGTCCTGAAGAACCATCATAGCAGGCAAATAAAAAAGACAAACATATTTTGCCGAACTGATTGTCTGTGACAAGGCAACCGGCAATTGTTCGCTTAACACACCCGTTATATATCTCTCACAGGCTCCGCCCTCTACTGGACTCCCCTCGATCCTATCATGCAAGCATTCATTCACTGAGACTTTCTAGGTGTAGCCGGTCCCTGGGCGGGCCTACCTGAATGCGCGCGCATCTCACCACATAAGGCAGTGAGTAACTGAGTGAAGAGAGACGGACAAAGAAACTTTTTGTAAAGCATACGAAGAAAAATGTACTCACCTGTGGAGCACCCCTGTCCTTCGTGTCCGGGCTCCATTGAAGGTGACGACCCCCACTGCCGGTGTATCGAGTGCCTGGGGTCCGACCACTCTGCGGCCAACCTGGCTCCGACTGCAGTCTGCAGCGCCTGCCGACTGATTCCTCGCCCCGGCCGCCATCAAAGGCTGGCGCTGTTTGAGGGGTCTCGCCGGTGGAGGACCCAGAGCTGGACGTGGTGGAGATTAAGTGCCTTCACCAGCCCGGGCGGGTCCGAGCATCAGAGAGAGGGACGACGATGGTGACACCTTGTCGTCCGAGATTTCCGGTGACCACCAGGAAGGCCATCAGCACAGGTCTGCACGACAGGACTTCTCGGCGGTAATGGCTATGGCGGCGAAGCATGCAGGCTTGCCGCTCCCCTCACCGTTGCCACCGAGGCCGGTGAGCGGCCTGCGTCAGGGCTTTTACGGCCTGTCCAGCACAGCCGGCCTTCATTTCACCCCCCTGCCAGACATCTGGCGGTGTGTGGAGGCCACGTGGAGGCAGCCACTGAGAACGAAGGCTCCGGTGGCTACTTGGGCTGGAATCCTCAGAGTGGAGGGCCACTCAGACAGAGTGTCCCGGTGTGCCCCCACTGGAGGAAAGCCCCCCCAAGTTTGGGGGGGCGATCTCTCAGGAGGCAGGTGCAATCGGGGCGTTACCCACTCTGGGCCAACCTCTCCAGGCTTGGCTCCTGAGAGGGACAGGCAAAAGGCAGGGTGGATTGTCTGATAGTGTTATTCAGTCTATCCAGGCAGCTAGAGCGGGATCCACCACAGCCTGTTACAGGCCAAAGTGGCTGGGATTCCTGCAATGGTGTGAGGAGCGGAAAATAGAGCCCCTATTTTGTGAATTGGGATCTATTTTTTTCGTACTTACCTTGGTGGACAGAGGGTTTGCTCATCCCACAGTGAAAGTGTATGCAGCAGCCACCTCGTCCTGCGATGAGCGATTTGACGGCATGTCAGCCTTTTCTCAGCCACTAATGTTACGTTTTTTTGCGGAGGGTCAGGAGGCTGCTCCCAGTCGTGCGTGCCTCCGATCCGGGGTGACCAGAGCGGGGCGACACTCAGACCGAACTCCTCCTTTGTTCCCAAGAGCCTAAGGAGTGCGTTCAAGTCGAGGGCTTCAGTTGGGGGGTTTTAATCTTCCCCCCCATAGTGGGGCGAGGGAGGATAAATTACACCTCCTCTGCCCGGTGCGTGCGCTGGCATATTATGTGGAGCGCACAGCTGCCATTAGACACACGGAACAGCTGTTTGTGTGATTCGAATTATGGCTGTGTCAACAGCCTTATTTAACGGCGTGAGTGTGGAGGACATACACTGAACAAAAATATAAATGCAACACTTTTTGCTCCCATTTTTCATGAGATGAACTCAAAGATCTAAAACATTTTCTATATACACAAAATAACCATTTCTCTCAAATATTGTTCACAAATCTGAAAAAATCTGTGATAGTGAGCACTTCTCCTTTGCTGAGATAATCCATCCCACCTCACAGGTGTGGCATATCAAGATGCTGATTAGACAGCATGATTATTGCACAGGTGTGCCTTAGGCTGGCCACAATAAAAGGCCACGCGAAAAGAGGCTGTCAGCCGCAGCCTCTTTTCTCACCACGGTTACCACCGAGGGAGAGGTGAGTGAAGCGCAGCGGCTGCTAACCAGAAAGCCGGTCAGAAACAGTCAGATGGAATAGTGTTATTGTGGGACGACAGCGCGTGTATATATCGGGGTTCTGCCCACTGTACCCATAGAGTCCAGTCGAGGGCGGAGCCTGTGAGAGATATAACGAGGGGTTACATATGGTAACCCTTGTTATATAAGCACAGGCGGAGCCCTCTACTCGGGGCCCTGTCTGTCCTATGCTGCTCGCTGAAGAGAAGTGTAGGATGACGGGAACGGGAGCTGCCTTATATACGGTGGGCTTGTGCGCGCATTCAGGTAGGTCCGCCCCGGGGCCGGCTACGTCTATAGAAATCTCAGTAGGTGAATGCTTGAATGATAAGGTAGTACCCATAGAGTCCAGTAGAGGGTTCCGCCTGTGCTTATATAACAAGTGTTACCATACGTAACCCCTAGTTTTTGTGACGGTCAGGGTGGCTGGTCGCAAAAACATTGGACTTTTACCCCATCTAAACTTGGAATTTTTTGTCAGGTAACTTAGTTATTTTAACCAAAACGACAATCTTCTACTATACCTGACCAATACATTTTTGTTTAAAGACAACTGACAACCATGAGACAAACATAAACCCTCCCATTCTCACCCAGATCTGCAGCTTGATCCTCTTTTCGTTTCGATATAGAGTCTTCACCTTGAAGTCGATGCCAACAGTGCTGACGAAAGAGTTACTGAAAGAATCGTCGGCGTAGCGGAACAGGAAGGAGGTTTTCCCAACGCTGCTGTTGCCAATGATCAACAGCTTGAACATGTAGTCAAAGTTCTGGTCGGAGCCGTCCCGCTGGCCAAAACGCTGGTCTGTCTTCGCCATCTGGAGGGTTGGATTGAAAAGAGAGAAGCAAACCCAATCAGCATTATTAAAATCTGACAAAGGACAAAATTGCCACTACTATGGCAACTCTAACTCACTTTTACAAAAAAAATGTCATCCTCCCCACATTTTTGAATAGTCAAAAAACGTCAGAAATTAGTCAAATATGTCAATTATTCCTCAAAGTCCAAGGTGATGTTTTAATTGTTTTATCAGTCCAAAAGTAAGTAAGCAGGAAATGTACACATTTAAAAGGTTGATAACTGTATTTTCAATGAACTGATCTATTAATTATATTGTAGTTTACAATTACTTTTAGCTCCAACAACCAACAAAAGTGAAGTACTTTCATCACTTTTGCTTTGAATGTAAAACCAGGCTTATTTTGTCTTTTATCAGAGGCGGTTAACAGTTTTAAAGGTTTTATTTTCTTCTTTTCAGAATAAATGCTACACAAAGAAAATCAAAACATGCCGGATAAGCCGAAAACTGCAACAAGCTAATCCTCTTTGTTCCTGGAAAGTTGACAATTTAGAAGTTTTCTCCTGATGAGCTGGAGCCAAATATGATTCAGCATAAAGCTAACAAACGGCATATCGTGTTAAAGAAAGACAAACATTTCTTTAACACTTTAAAGGAAAACAAACATTTCCTGTTAGACTTCAACTGACAAGTCAAATAAAAAGCCAGAGCTGCCTTTCTGTCTTCGACATTGCAGAAAGGTAGCCGTCAATGTTGAGGGTTAGTGTGTGAGAAGAGGACTGAATGAATGACAACAGGTGATGAGTCAGAGCTGAATATCCCGCTGGTTCCATCTAGCCAGTCAGCCAGCGGGGGAGAAAACTATTTCCATGGAATACCTATGAATTGATGATTGTAGCTGTGGAGAAATATTTATCATCTCTGGATTCTGATGAGACCCATTATGTGATCAAAGGGGACCTATCATGCAAAATGCAGTTTTGTACGTCTTTTATACATGACTATGTGTCCCCGGTGTGTCAGGGAACTCACCAAGTGTCAGAAAACACAACCCTCTCTCTTTTCCTCCATACCCAAATCTCTAAAAACGGGACTGCAATGGATCTGATACAGACTGATACAGATTTGAAAATTCTCTGACGTCCGGAATGAGGAGCTCCGCCTATATGGGCAACTCTCCACCTATCAGGGGAATGTGGGGTTGGGCCACGGCCGGCCGTTGTACATATGCCAGGCCTGTAAGTGGCGCTGTAGTCTGCCAAAAAAGCAGCGAAGAAGACTTCCCAAGCATGGTTGCCATGGTTGCCCTTCTGTTTATTCTCCGCTGTGGCTCTTTTTCTCCCTCCCCGAGGCAAGCGTTTGCTCCTGCTGCTGTTATTCAATGCAATCCCTCCCCGTCGAGGCAAGTACTGTAATTCTCTCCGGTTAGCCCACCAGCAGATGACAAACACCCACCTCTCCGCCTCTTCCAAGGAACGAGGGGACCGTGCGGCAGAGTTTCAATTAGATTTTTTTTCGCCGGTCTTTAAATCTTCCGGACAAAATTAGAAAAGTGCCGGTCAAAGGTCTTCTTTGTTATTTATTGAGCTTTAAAACAAATAAATAATGACTCTATATAATCATATAAGAATAAAACACGGAGATCTCTTTTTCTCCCCCTCTTCTGACAGCCAAGCAGCTGATCTCAAAGCGCTCCCCTCTCCTGCAGGGGGGCGTGGTCAGCTGCATCTCATTTGCATTAAAGTTACATCACAGAATCAGCCCCTGCAAAAACAGGGCTGGAAAGAGCAAATAGAGCGAAATGAGGCATGGCTAAAATGCAGGATCTGTTTGGTATTTTGAAAAAAAAACTATATTTATATACTTTATATAGGTATGGCCCTACACAACCCTGTCTCCTAAAAATTAAGTTCCCACAGAACTAAACTGCATTCTCAATTACGTTTAGCTAGAAACGTATTTTCTCCCACGTTCTGTTTGTTATGAACGTATCTCAAATACGTTTATTTTCTACATATCTTCTAGAAATGTATTTTCTCCCACGTTACGTTTGTTATGAACGTATCTTAAATACGTTTATTTTCTACATATCTTTGCCATTTATTGTCTTGCTTATAATAATGATAATAGTCATTCATAAATATAATTTTAGAGCACACATTTTAAATCGAGAATTGGGCTCGATATATAAATTAAAATCAGTAGGTGAAGCTGTAATTTCGCCAGCTGTTACTCTCATGAGCGAGGCAGAAAATAATAGTTTTAACATGCCAAAAAGCTGCTGTGTTGTTTATTGCACCTCAAACATTAAAACAAATCCAGAGTTACGTGTTTCTGTACTTCCTCTAAGAAGAAAGGACCAGAAGATCTCTGTGGCTTCAGGCTTGATCGCCGTGACAGCGTTGGTTTCCCCAAAAGTGGGCGGGGCTGTAAAGTGACGGTGTGGTAGTGCGCCAAGGTTACGCCGAGCGTCAAGCTCTTTGAAATGGAACGAAACCACGGCAGACTATTCAAAACTGGACTTGAACGCCCCCCCAGAACTACACATGCTGGCTATTGTGTTTCGCAACATGTTCTCTATGGCACGTCTCTACTGGGAATTGTAGTTTTAAAAGACGTTTTCGTTTTTCCCAAAATTAGAAGTTGACAGTATTAAACTGTGTACAGCCCTGGAGGTTTAGGCGATAGGAAACAAATTGGTGTGTACAAATTTAAAACATGTAATTACTAAATGGATGAAAATCGTTTGTATCCATAATGGGCAGCATTAATATATACCCACATGACAGCTCATTGTTACTTTGTAATTCTACTCCACAATTCAGAGGTTAACCTGGTATTTTTACTCCACTACATTTATTTTAGTTACTTTGCAGATTCTGATTAATGATGTGAAATATAAACAACCCTTAAATCAGACTTTAGTTCCATCTGAGTAAAATTCAGGGAAGGTGATTGTCAAGTGCCAGATATTTGATAGTTGGTGCTTGAGAAGACTAAACATTTATCTGCAGATCTCTATAAAGTATATTCATTACTCGCTATTCTCTACTAATAGTTAATTAAAAACTGTATATAATTGCTATTTTGCACATCCCTTTCAAGCATTCAAGATTTTCTAAGGTTTATTGACATATCATATACACAACTACGGTGTAGTTATGCAATGAATGAAAAACTTGGGTCACAGGTTCCTCAACAGTGCATTACAATACATCTATCAATATGTGTGTATACCTCCACCATTAAACTGTCATATTCTGCACATTTCTTATACTATCTACATACATAAGAGTATAATTAATGTGTGTAATATCAGTTAAAATAAGTTATTCAACATAGTTAACATTGCAGGAAAGCGATATATTATATGTTAAGTACATTGTCAGGCTTAATATTTATCTGTAGATAGATACCCCCAAAATTGTTTTCTTATTTAATAGAAGACCTTAACCTAAAGTATTCTTTAATGTGTTAATAAAGGTTAATTAGTCTTTTCTGTTTTGCACATCCTCATATTAATATCTTTGTACATCCAGCACTAAACTGTTTTATTATAGAGATCACTTACAGTATATTCTTGATATTTTTATATTCTATATTTCTATCATTGACCTTCTACTTTCCCCCTATGAAAGTATGTACTCTTAATATTGTTTTCATCAATTAACATTATTCAACAAAAATAATTCAATAACGTGCTTTAACCACTAGGCGGTGCACACAAGGTACACACAGAATACTAATCATAACTTTGTATTATTAGTGTAGGACACTTATGTATGTATAACATCTGAAGATGTGTAGTTTTATTCATGTTTTTACATAATTGTACAGGATATTGCTATACTATTTCTCATGTTTTACTTCTACACATTAATATCTGATTTGTAAAACATCACAGACAGAAAGGTATATCCGTCATTTAATGGTAAGCTATTGAAATTCTGATTCCATAGATGTGTCTCCCATCACCCAAATCCCCTGACTATTCTCTCAACTCAGTATTTACATTCTTATATTCAAAGAAAATCAGTAATATCTTTAAAAACTACAAGTCCTTTTCTATCAGTTGTGCACCGTTATGGTGTAAATATAATCTACCAATTGGATCAAATATAAAAGTCAGCCGAATTACTATTGATACTGCAAGGAGACGTATTTTGTGAAAAGAAATGTAAGATGTTGTTTAACCTGTTTAGCCCTAAGCCTGTTTTTCAGGTCTCAGGCTCGAAAATGACATTCCCAGAACAAATGACCATATCTTCCCTTCTAAAAGGGTTACATTAATAATCTTTTTTCTCAAAGTAATGATAAACCTGTGAGTTGGATGTAGAAAAGTCAGAATCAATATAGATGTTTTTTATTTGAAAGAAAATTCAGATTGAACATTGTTAGAGCCACAACGTTATTATTTCGATTCATAATTTGATAAATTATTTAATGATGGAAAATGATTTATATTGCCATGGTGAATATGTTTTGATGAAATGATTGTTAATTTTATATCGTAAATATGATCTGTTTCCTTCCTACTTTCCGGTGTGTATTTAAGTGAGGTAATTGAGGACAGCCGGCGTGCTCGGAGACCTGATGAGACGGGGAGCGGAACAGTTTTTAGACCGCAAATTGTAAACAGAGATTAGTGTTGCAAATTGGACTGCAAAGTATAGTTTATATAGGAAAGCATACCGCCGAAATATTGATTTAGATTTATTATTTTGAGACTATTTAAGTCAATACTTTTTTGTTAATAAATTACATTTTTTGACTGAAAACCTTCGGCCGCTTATTGTCTTGGATTGCGTGTCGTCAACCCCGCTCTATAGTGGCAAAAGGAAACCTTGGATGCCATTACATCAAGTCGAAAAACTCCGTAAGGAAGAGACACACACCGTTTGGATCCCCGGGAAAGAGGGACACACCGGAGCGGACAGACTGGGCCGGTCGTGAGTAAATAAAGGGAATAAATCCGTGTAGCATTGATTGGAATGTCGGACGTGTTAAAGTCTAAAAGG